AGTGAAAACAGACAGAAGGAAAACAGTTTTACTTCCATTACTGCAGTACATAAACTGTAAAGGTACAGGACAGAAAAGTAATTTATTAATGCACCATGTGGTGCACAACATCCAACATTTTAAAGATATCCAGTGTGTGTGTGTGTGTGGGTGTGTGTGTGTGTGTGTGTGTGTGTGTGTAGTCTGGAAATTGTTTTTGGTTTATTTATGCCTGCTTCGGATTTGAAATTCGAAATTCTCATATTTCTTTTTAGTACCTTTTTAAACTGCTCTTACCCCACATGCATGATATTTTTTTCCAACACAAACGTATTCGCTATAAATCTGACTTTTAACAAAGTATGAAGCTGCCATCAACACAAAATACACAAAAAATAACACTGCCTGCCGATACAATTAAAAAAAATTGATAATCACTCAAGATATTACTATAACAGGTCAAGGTTGTAAAAAGGAATGAAAAAAAGAACTACACGCACAAATACAGCTGAAAAATAAACTACTACTAATGAAATTAGAACTTATTAGAGAATAACACTTAAGCAAATGTCACTCATCTATTTTATAGATATGTTAAATCTATATAATTGCAGATGACAACCCCATCATGTAAGACTTATACAAAATAAATATGATGCAATCTAACATGAATGGAAATTCTAATTACTTTTATACAATGTAATGAGCTTATGGGCCTTATTGTCAAATCAAACAAATAATTAAAAAACAGACAAAAACCTGAATACTTCATCCAGCTGTCAAAACAAATGTATGGATAATGGCTGTCCTGCATCCATGACTGGGAGACATTCATGTTAACTCGGGTCTCCATTGTTGGCGGCCTCCGGTGACTCCAGCCACAGTCCCATTATAATACAGAATATCCTGACGAGCTATAATGCCAGTTATCAGTGTCTGCTGGCAGGTAAACAGACAGTGAGATTATTGCACTTGTGTTCTGACTGTTTACACAGGATCACTGAGCGATACGCTGGACAGGCATGGTGTTCTCCCTATTGTCTTGTGCATGTGCCTAATTGTAAACATGTGGTTAAACGTCACAGTCGGGCCTATTTAAGTGCAATGTTAGGCTGAAACCTGAAGGGATGGAACACAGCTGGAAGTCAATCTGCAGTTATCAACCACACGCAAAGTCTAACAGCCAGAAATGTTGAGATTTCTCACCCACAGCCTGTGGAAGGCAGTCGTCTTACTGACTCTGCTAACAGTAGGTAAGTGTATAGATATTTCACAAAACAATGTTTAGAGAGGCAGTAGAATGGCAGAAGTATTTAACAAATCTTTTATCTCTAATTTCAGGTGGTGGACTTGCCAGCTGCACAAATCGCCGATGTCTGGCTGAAATATTGATTCAGAAAGAATATCTATCTCAGCCACAAAATGAAAACTGCACCCACAAGATTTACGTGCCGCTCATTGAGTACCAGACTCTGTCAGTTGTAAGTATTGTTTCATAAATTTTCTACTGCGAATTCCTATTTGTTTCTCCTTTTATTCACTAAAATTACAACTATTGTTATTATTCCTAAGTCTTATTAATGTCAACATGTTGAAGATGTTTTGAGAATTTATTTTGATCGGGTAATAAATACATGCAGGAAGACAAAATGGTCATCTGAGCAAAATTGTCAGACAATGACCGATTCATTCCCACCAGCAATCCAATGGAGTTGACGCTCTGCATAACCACATTTGTTATCTTTTTATTAACAGGACATAAAGACTCTCCAGATCACAAGTCGTCTGCTAGCCATAATTGTAAGCTCCTAGATGCTAACAAATGGACAAAAAGAAACAGAGAGTATGTTTCAGTCACAATCATTTTGATTTGAAACCACAGGTGTGGACAGATCCTGAGTTGGGATGGAACACGTCAGTTTACAAATTTCATCAACTGACCCTGCCAGTGGATAAAATCTGGACCCCAGAACTCCATGTCACAAATGGGTAAGTTACATAACATAATCCAACTATCATCGCAAATTCAACTCATGGACTTCTTGATATTCATCCCACACATCTGTTGTTTCTCACCTGTGTAGAATAAAAACAACTATGTCTCACAACTCCCGTGATCTGCTGGTACACAGTAATGGCACAGTGGAGCACACTGTGATCATAAATGCAGAGGTGAACTGTGAAGTCAACCTGTTCAACTATCCCTTCGCTAGTGATGAATGTCCTGTTGCGATCCAAAGCTGGTCCAACCAAGGTGAGCTCAGCAATTCACTAATACAAATACACAGTATTTTATCAAAGTCTTAGAGCACATTGGCTGTTAAGTCATAATGTGTTAACTGGCTTAATTTCATAATTCTACACATCTGTGTTAATTCTTAAGAAGATATTGATTCATTTCCTTTTGGTTTTTTTAATGCTTTTTAGATGATTTTCCAATTATTAGGGCATTGCCATAATAAAGTGTTGTGCAGTGTCAAATGAGGCTACATTAGTTGCTGCTAGCTTAACACACCAGTATCTCTGAACAAACTGTTGGAGGGCATGTTGCATTGTGGGTAAAGTAGGCGCAATGTTTGGATGTAAAAGATGATTTAGATTTTATTTTTTTTATTTTTTTAAACTGCCCGTAATGAGTCAGTCAATGCTCTGTCAGTGGAGTGCTCTTTTAAAGAAGCCTTTTCTTTCAGGATGTGGTACAGATCTGGTATTCGGTAGAATAATTAATGTTGATGGGTCCCATGGAGATTGGAGAACTGACAATGTGACCCTCAAGAAATTAAGAAGGGACCGCGATTACCTCATGGTGAGTTTGTGAGCATGTATAATAGTCATTTATACTTTAAATAATGATTCACCAAATTCTTGCAATAGTGGTATTAATCTAACGGTATTTAACTTTACAAAAACAAAACAGCAATTGTTTGATTGCGACATAGTAATCAATAAATCTCAAATGAATCTGCAAGTATTTTGACATCAATAATCATCAAACTTTCCCTGATTCCAGCTTCTCAGATGTGAGGATTTGTTGCGTTTCTTCGTCAGCTGTGATAGTAGATGTAATATACTTGAGTTTCAGACTGCTGGCAGGACAAATTAAGTAATTTGAACATCTATGAGAACTTATAATGGACATTTTTCACTATTTTCTGCCATTTTGTGAAAATAAACTACAAATTGATCAATCGAGAAAAAAATATGCACGAGACACTGGCAGAAAATAAAGTATTCACCATTTTCCCGAATCACATACTTGTATTTAAGCCAGGAGTTCTACAAACAATAAAATGCAGTTTCTATATTGTACCATGAAACTCTGTCTGCCACACTCCTCAGGTTGAATTGAGCATTAAATCTACCAACCCCTTCATAACACTACTGCTGCCCAGTATGCTGATCATCATAGCCGATATGGTCAGCTTCGCTCTGCCGCTGGGAGGCGGTGAACGCAACTGTTTTAAGGTCACACTGGTGCTCAGCTTCACCATGTTCCTCGTCATCCTCAACGATCGGCTCCCTGGAGACGGCCAGTGCAGCCCCGTCATCCGTCAGTCAGCATGTCACAAACACTCGCAAACCAAATACATGAACGGCATCGCAGTTTGAGTCTCTAACTGTCTCGTCTGTGCCGCAGGAATCCACTTCTCTGTGTGTCTGATCCTCTTGGTGGTGAGCATGTTGCTGTCCATGCTGCTGACAAAGATGGCCACAGATGGCGGCCACCTTTTCAGCTGCTGCTGGGGAGGGTCATTCTCGGAAAACACAGGAAACAAGGACCTGAAGGAGGATGAGGGTGAGGAAGTTGTTGATTTTGAGAAGGGTATTTTGATGCTCACATCTTGATTTTAAACAAAAAAAAACAATGTGTATGACCTGTTCTGATTCATTCTGCTTCATTCCCTACAGAAGCCAAAGCTGACATTAGTGCCATTCAGCTGAATGGCCTAGAAGACTACAGTCAAATGCTCAGAAAGGTGGTCAACTTCCTGGACGCTCTGGATGCCAAGACACTGGAAAGTAACAGATATCTGATGTTTGCCAACAAAGTGGACCAGACAATCTTCCTGCTCTACTTCAGTTTTGGCGGTGTATACTTTATTGCCATGACTTGTGTGATGGCAAGCTATAAATGTTCAGTTGACCATTTTGATTTCTGGTACTAATCACAATCACAAACTGAGCTGTTCAGATTTCAAAATGCTAATCTCTGCACACATTTATTACACGTATTTAACCTCGCATTCTTTATATTGTGTCAAATACCGTGGTTCTCATTTGTACTCGTATAGTTAATCTGTAGATGTCTGATAAAGATGTGTGTGGGCATATTTCTGAAAGTCAAAACAAATAAATGAATTAATCCTTCGCTCCTGATATTATTTTGAGTGACATGAGTTATGGAAGTGTTAGTGGTGCAACGGTTCAACTAGCTCGCGGTTCGTCGTGTATTGTGCTTTTTGTGTTACGATCTCAGTTTGATTTGTTTTGCGCATAAAGGGAGGAAAAACATCCCTTTCCAATGTGTTTGAATTACAAAATACATAAATCAATCGATTGACTAATGGTAATAAATGAGATTTCTATATTATATGAAGCATAAAACAGATTTCATACATATCTATTCTTTTACATATATATATATTTTATTTAAAACTGGAACATCTGGACACATGACAAAGCCATGTTCCTTCAGCCCTCAACATGAGATTTTATTCGTGAAGATTTTCTGATATTGAATAACACCCTCTGCTTATATTATAGTATGTCTATAAAAATACAAAAAAATATATTAAATGTAAGGAAAAGACGGATGAAGCTGCGTGGCCTCTGGTAAACACTGATGCGCTGTCGTTGCCACCTCATGGTGTAATCATTCACTGCAGACAGGTGACCTGCTGCACTTCATTACTTTAGATAAAAACAGTTGAGCTTAATAATTCACAATTCTGTTTATGTCCAACATTAAACAAAGGCTGTTGAAGGACAGCTAATGAGAGGCGAATATATATTCTATTGGTTTTAATAACATAATGTTGACACTTCCAGCCAGAAATGACAGTCATGAGTTTATTCTTGTATTTATTATGTTTTTGTAAAACAACAATTTCAGAGATGTCCAGGGTAAATCGTCAGTTTTTGTGTAAACTCACAACCAAGTGGCACTTGTAGCTAAACATTATACACTTCACCAACTTCTCCCTGCCATATCCCAATATCATTTATCACAATATTTTATAAAGTTTGATTAAAACAACATAAAGCAGCAGTAAGATCCCCGCCCCTATAGTTTAAATAGTAGCACAATAAGGTAACACATCTATCTCTATATATTTAATTGTCCCCCAAAGCTCTTTTCCCAACAGTATACATTCAGAGATGCTGAGACGTCAAAAGTTACAAAAGTGTAATGTAAAAAATAATGCTTTCATTTTCTAAAGACAAAACTGCCCTTGATCGAAATCTAATCAAGACTCCGGAATCTAAACATTACCTCATTAACTGCTATTTTAAAACAAATTAAAGCCTGTTAGGGACTTTGCCAGTTTTGTGGTGAACTCAGTTTACCAGTCAGGGTTTACATTTCACAATAACCTTACATCAGTTACAAGTATCAGTCTACCTGTGCTCTGAACTGACAAAACTACTGTATGCAATTTATTCTCAACAGCAACTATTGTTTTTTTTTTTATTTGCATTAATAGAAAGTCTGGAAATTATTCCTGAATTAATCAGTCAGTCAATGATTTCAGAGGAAAAAAACCCCGACACAAAATCAGTTGTATCAAAAACACTTTCACACTCAGAAAAGACCAACAGGTACAATAATGTGTCCATCACACTGCAGACGGTTCGTCCTCTTCAACTTCAAGGTTCCTCTGTCTTTTTCATTGCCTTTTGTGAAACAAATATAAATGCAACAGTTAATGCATCATGGCATTCAGACAAAAAAGCTAAGTGTTATTTCTCTTCACATACCTGTTTAAAAATCTGGGCACCAAGATAGTTCTGTGCCATGTTTCTCAGGTTGGTCTGTCCACCGAACTTGCATCTGATGTAGCCGTACAAGTTTGCCCATTGTAATACCAAGCCCATGAGCACTACAGCCTGGGGGACAAGACACGGACCAACAATTAGCAACTATTTAAGACGGAAATTGAATAGACGTTCACTTTGAAAAGCACCGAACTGACCAGCCATTTCATCTTGAAAGAGAAGATGGTGCTGAACACAAACATTATCCAGAAGATGGGGCACACGATGAGTCCGAGCCAGAAGATCCGGGACTCGGCACTGGACGTCGTGTTCAGACTGTGCGTCTGTTTACAAAAAAAATCCAAGATTAAAAAAAACAACTGGTTTATTCTTTGGAAATTCATGTCCAATGTCCGTACGGTGACATTTCTAAGAGAGGACAATGCAGCCGTTCTATGTTACACCATCTTCAATTGTCTAATAAGGTCATGCAGCTCCATTACACTGTGAAACAAACAGGATGCACATACGGGAGCACAGTCACCTCTGAGTTACAATGAACATCCGTGTATTTACCGAAACCTCTAGTACTTTCCAGCTGCTTGCTGCCAAAGTCACACTGAATAATATGTATTAAAAAAAGAAATGTGTTGAGACGGTTTAGCTTACAAAAGATGTTGTTTTTCCAAATGTGTGTCTTTACTCCTCCAAACCTTTGTTAAGAAAGCTGTATTTTTCTCTTGGGCCGCAAAGAGCTCCGTGCAAATGCCCGCTGGGTCTTTAAGGAATGTATCTATGTACCTTCTGCTTACCTTCTTTGACTCAAACACCCAGTGGCTCTTTCCATTGGTATCCACTTGATTCCACCAGCGAAGGCCCACCAACAATCTGCCAGATACATTCTGAGGGGGAAAGCGCATTTACTTTGATTTGTCATTAACAACATAAACCTCCAAATATTCACTAAATAACCCAAGATGTAATCCAACACGGAACATGGAGATTCAATGACAAAAAAACAAAAAAAATAGCCGATAAAAGTAAAAACTTGATCTGCAACTATTGGAACGGCTTCTTTAATGAGAGGATTAGATGCTAAAATAATGTGGGAACTTTCTCACTTCTTTGGGGCATTTTTAAACAAACGATTGATTAATTGTGACAATAACTTTCAGATGTATTGGTACTGATCGCAATGTGAAGTTAGCTTCTGATTCGCAGCGTTTGGATTTGACAGTTAAGTGGAAAGTTATATTAAACTGAACCAACAGATTCTCCTTCTGTCGGGAACACACTTTCAAATGTGTGAAAGCTTTATTATATTTGTGAAAAGGCAAAAAGGGGAGATTCCACTGTTTTGACAAGGTCCAGATCCAAAACCACTATAATTAATCAAGTCAAATCTGGACTAGATTATCCCAAATAGTCTTTAAAAAACAGCTTCAGATTTCTGAAAGCTTTATTCTTTCTTTTTGTTATATGCAGACCAAGTTGAACTAGGTCCAGATTAAAATATAGCATAAAGTATAGTGGGTTTTGATCTGGACCTGGTCCAATATGGTCTAGAACTGCAGAATCGGAAGCTGCGAACCTGAAGCTAACTTCAGCGTCGTAAAATAAACTAGTTGCAGCTCCTCGCGTGACACAAACAAGGTGTCGTGTATAAAACCGACGCATGATTTTGGATTATTTATTTTCCACATCCAGTAATCCACCCGACCCGCTCACCTTCACGGTCCAGAAGTCACATGACAGCAGGAGGATGATGGTGACCATACAGGCAATGAAACGACTGCTGAAGATGTCGCACAGTAAGTAGACCAAGATGGCACTTGTTCGGAAGAAGAGATGGAAGAAGGAGACCAGCGGGTGTCTGAAACACAGATTTGATGATAAAGCGTTTGTTGAGAACAGGACAGTCACTTAGGACCGAAGTACCCTCACACATCTCACCTAATGTTGGACTTTCTGGCTCTTATGTCACCGTCCTCTTCCCCAAAGAGAGGAGCGTCTTGCGAGTCCTGTTAACGTAAAATAAATACATTATCAGGTTAACGCTAATGCTCATCTTCCAGATATCCGTTTCCATGGATTTGTTTGTAATTTAAATCACAGCAGTCGAGTTACACTACATTCAAAAGCCAATACTGTTTATGAGTTATCACAAAAGTCAAATTTAGGACCGATCACCTGTCTCAGCATGTTGAAACTTGCGGATGTATTTCCTGGTGACGTGGTTGTAAACAAAACCTTATGCTAAGGACCCAAAGGAAGGGTGGCTTTAAATGTGCCTGACTCAAAGGTAAGACGAACACATCAGCCCAAATGAATAGCTATTTCTGCTTCTTGTATACATTCTATGAATTTATGTCGCATATTGTTCCAGTGTAGATAGATGCTTTTATTTCAAGCTCGTAAGATCTTCCAAAAGCTATGGGAGAGCTTTTATTTCATGTGTTTAATTAATGAAGTGACCATAGGTTTTATTAGATTTATTGTTTTTGGTATTTTGCACAAAATCACACCCAAGTGGCACTTATTTCAACCAGTTCAAACTTACAAAACTTAAATTGCATAGATTATTTTTGATTCAAACAACATAACGTAGTAGGATGTCCACAATCTATGTTTAATTAAATAGTGGCCAATCAACAATAAGGTAAAACATCTATTACCCCCAAAAAACCCTTTTCAGATACAGTATACAGTAGATTCAGTCCCAAAAAGATGATAATTAGGACTGCAAACAACACATTTTTTCATTATCCATTAAGCTACCAATTATTTTCTCGATTAAATCAATTAATCATTTGCTCTACAAAATGTCAGAAAATTATAAAATTGGGTTGATCACTACAGCTGTATACTGCAAATAATGTGTTACTAATAATGATAATAATTGATGTCACAAAAGATTAACATCGCAATTATTGTTTGACTTCTGACAATGATATTTTGAATACATTTACATTGTTGCATATTCAAGCTTTAACATCATGAGAAACATTGTTTGACAAACGTGCACTTCACAAATGTAGAGAGAAATAACAAAGACACATCAAAACAAACTACAATTTATACAAAACAGCTTTATATTGTCAAAACAGTGGGCTGCCGTGAGCTCCAGCATGCGTTATGAGGTCAGAAAAACCTCAAACAGACTGGCGACTGAATGCATGCGGTAAAAAATGCCAAAGGGAAGTCCAATATTTACAATCGCAGCCCACATGTTGAATTTATAGAATTCCGTTTCAGTGTCGTGGTCAAATTGGGGACGAGCACCGAATGCCGGCATGATCCACAGCTGTTAAAGACAGAAAGGAGAACAGGCTTAGCATGCGGTGCATTTTCAAGCAGTAACTTTGAGAGTGTAAGGGAGAGCGTTACTCACTATGACGTTGCCCAGCAGCAGAAAGGCACAGACCTCCTTCAAAATCCGTCTCTTCCACAACAGTTTGGGCTTGTGCCCGGCCATGTGTGCGTGCGGGCTGTGTGCTGCGAGTACCGGACTGGGCTTTGTGTCCATGTCTGATCCTTCAAAGGTGCTCAGGTCTTTGCTCGGCTGCAGCACATATGGATTTGCAACCACAGTGATCTGGTGCACCTCGTGGAAGGGCTCCCGATGTAGCCCTTCCACAATGAAAAAGTTCTGCAGGCCGAGTTGGATCACCATCAGGATCGCCCAGGCCAGGTTGAGCCTGTTCAGGTAGCCTTTGGCTCCAGTTGCAGCCATCGCTACGATGGTGAAGTAGCTGATGATGAACTGCCCCAGCGAGGCTCCGACCAGCAGCCCCACATCCAGGCTCCGCGTGGGGCTTTTCTCTGATACGTGCTCCCTGTGGTCCACCTTGTAGATGGCACAGCCGATCACAGTGGAGACGGACATCAGGGTCACTATCACTATATTCATGATAAAGTGCATCATCACTGCTTTATCCTTCCGGTCGTCATCAATATCTCCGTTAACCATTTCCATCTCATACACGATGAAGGTTGCCAGGCCCGACGCCACCAAGAGAACTCCTGCCACAGGACCGATAAATATATCCTTCATACGGAATTTGATGTGGTGATCGTGTTCTTCTGTTACTCTGCCCACGTTTTTCCACATGATGTATGCCATGGCTGAGGCAAAGAGACTGTACTCAATATTGAAGGGGTACAAGTAGTAGTAGGCCTCCTTGAAGATGCTACATGAAGTGTGGCTGCACTTGCACGTTTCGTCTCCGTAACCCGCTGTAAGACATGACGGGGCACAGGTAGACAGAAGTATTAAGTTGTGGTACTTTACTCGTCACTATATCTGCTTTGATTGATGCATCTGCTTTAATTACCTTTGCTGATGAACAGGCTTCGTCCTGAGTTTTTGGTGTCGTTGCTCGGATATTCGGGATATGTTGTTTGGTGTAGGGACTCCTCGGTGACCGCAGTCATCCACACAACTAGATTTGTGGAGAGGGTGAGCATCAGCCCGCAGCTAAATAAGAAGACAAGAGGGAATCAAAAGAAAAAATGATCAGACTAAAACAGTGTTGATTTTCTTTTCTTTTTTAATGGTCTGCTTTAGTGTCTGATTTATACAGAATTCAAGGGGCAACATTAAAAATCAGTATCCACCAAGTAATAATAGTCTTGCTTTTAATTTAATTTGGCTTGTCAAACCACAATGTCTTATTACAGTTTAGTGCTAAGACGTCAGTCAATAAGTCAATTGACAGAAAAATAACTGGAAACTATTTTTATAATCGATTAATAGTTTGAGTTTTGCTATATTAAGGTGAATACTTAGTCTTAGTCCTCTATGATAGTAATCTGAATATCTTTGGGTTTTTTAAAACATGTCAACGTGAGCTCTGGGGAATTGTGATAAACATTTTACACTATTCTTGACATTTTATCGGCCAAATGATTAATCGACCAATCAAGAAAACTATCTGCAGAATGATCAATAATAAAAATAACCGTTGTTTGCAGCACTCTTTCAGATAAATGCAATAGAAATAATACTGATTGCATAATTTCAAGGTTTGCCAATGAGGAGAAATTTCAGATTTTGACAGTAATACAAGATCAGAACTGCGGCTACAACTAAAACACAAAATGCTAAAGGAGAAGGGTTCATTTTTTAAGTAGAACACGGTGAGTGGTCCATTAATTACATACCGTGTAATGTTCCTTTGTAGCTGCACACATGCCTTCGCGTGCATCCACAAAAAGTATGTCTGCAAATTGATAGCACAATTGTATTAATCATTTTGCAATGATAAAGACTTGAGTTAACGAATTAATGTCTTTATGCATTTTTACCTGCACAATTACGAAGACAAGTTGCACCACAGGAAATGCAACCTTAACGGCAGAATCGCAGTGGAGGAAGCCCGCATAGCTGGCTATCTTGAAAATATCCATGACGATGCTGAGCAATCCAAATAGCACAAGTCCTCCTGAAGGAGCAACGAGCAAACTTAGTTTGAACATTCTCAGCAAATACAAAACACTTTAGTCTGAAGATGTGCAACAGTTACTTACCCCGGAGCCATACAGGTCCAGCATGGCCGTCCTTGTAATCAACAGCATTGTCTTTCCTGGCCGTGTAGATGAGATAGTAAACCATCCAGATGGAGGTGAGGAGGAGGAGGAGGATGAGGAAGACCTGCAGGTCAGCGCTGCCGATCTTTACATTGTTGTTGGCACTGCCGCTGACCAGGGCGCAGCCCAGGATCAAGACGTTCACACAAATGATCCCGGACAGCATCCAGCCCCAGTTTCGGCCCCTGTCCTTCAGGGCTCCAGCGGAAGGGATGTTCGGGTCGGGCTCGCACGTGCCCTCCACTTGACTCGGCACATTGATGTTGTTGGACAGGCTGGCCTCCTCCGTCTCCCTGTCTTTGGCCGACATCCTGCATGGTTCACAGGGATTGCCATGGGTCAAACAGTCGCATTGGTAGCCGGTGGCTAAACACATCCTTCCCTTCTCTAAAGCCTATTCACAAATGAGTCGTTTGCTGCACCTGGTTCCCTCTTAAACGTTACAGGTTTAACTGCTACACCCACTCACTAGCTCCCTATAAATAAAGGCAGATCCCAGCGAAACAACAGACACAAAAGAGTAGTTTCAAATCAGCAAATGGGATTTAATTTGCATGTTTATAGTGCTGTACAGAGTGAGAATCCAAAAAACATGTTTGCATGAATAAGCTATGAGGGAAGTAATCTACACTATCCCTCTCCATCTATGATAAAAGACTTTAACACCAGGACAGGTGAAATATAATAACGTGCATGCTCTTGTTAGAAAAAATATGACGCTCTTATGACAATCCGACAAAGCAGTGACCTTCTTAATGAAGGTATAGGTTTCAGGATACCTGTAAACTTACCTGATGCAGTGTGATCCTGAGAATCACACTGTCTGAGCCATCACGGTTTTTATACCTCGTCAGAAACGCCGTGGTTTACTGAGCACGTGTGCAGCCATAAATGTCAACTGTTATGAATAACACCATATTATCACCAAACACAGCGTGTTTTGCACAAAATATTCAAGTAAAGTTCAAAAGATGTTTCCACGAAAAACCTTTTCTCACGTATTCCAAAATACAAGAAACCGGTTGCTTTTCGGATAAACTGCATTTCTTTGATATTACACGATACATTTGTATTCCAGGGCTTTCGGTTGTATAAGTCCTAACAGTATGCGCAAAATAAATGCGAACGTAAGGTAAAACAAAACTGCATCAAAGCATGTTTTTTTTCCCCCCATAATATTTTTGCATTCATATATTTTAGAAGCTTTATGAGTTGTGTCGTGTTCAACTTGATGGCCTTTTTGCTGCGGCTGACCCCATGCAGCTACATCGCACTCTAAACACGATCTAAATTCTCTAAACAGGCTTTGGCGTGTAAAACTCTTTATCTTTTTAATTCGGTGCTTGAAGGGAATACTCCCAGTTCTCATTAATGCAGAATGCTCAATGAAGAAACGTGCCCCATGCGTCATGTGTCTCTGCAGAACGCCTGAGGTGTAGGACATGAAAAGCCTGGGCGCTATCGGTGCCCATTGTTATGGACGTTTCAGAGAACTCCAGCGTCGCTTCTTATTTCAGATAGATAGATAATCGATGTCCTTTTCATCGGGGTGGGTCTGGGAGTGAGGGACTTTCGCCTTGCGACACTCAATGAACTCTTTTGTCTGCAAAAATGTTGTTGAATAAAACACCACCAGGAATGGAAAGTTTAAAGTGGGAACAATGGGTTTATTCAGAAGAAAGCTGACAAAATACACACCGGAGTAACTCTTCCTCATTTCTCACAGTGAGACAGCAATACTTGTGTTCTCAAGTGTCTGTGCTAATAATACCCTGCACAAGTGTAGACAGCTTCAGTGTGTCTTGAAGTTTATTCCGGATGAATGAGTTTGAAAGGTTTCAGAAATGTTTTCAGATTGAATAGAAACGTAAAATGTATATTGTTTTTGAACCAGCCATTAACGTGTACATTGACTGAAGAGGTGCATTAAACTACATCATGGAGAAATGACAAGTTGCATCAACACCTCTCTAAAACTGAATATGAAGACCTTTATGAAGGGAGGTTTATTTGCAGGTCTGTTGCATTAGATTGCATTAGTTTCAGCTGGATGTACCCGATGAACTGGCAAATGAGTGTATGTCAGCATTTCAGGATATTGTCTTTTTACAGTCATTATTGACAGCCTCAGATACACCAGAGGAGAGATCAATGGGGACATCATTAAATCAAAAATGACTCCTCAGTTAGGGGTACAACATTTATTTCTCTTTGATATTTAAGCACTCATATTGTATATGTGTTGTAGGTTGTTGAAGGTCTTTTTTTTGGTCCACCTCGGCCACCGGGAGCACTGTTACCCGCACGCTGGAGTGCACCGTGGCGTCCCTGGATACCACCGACGCGCTCCTCCACTGATCAGCAGCGACTGGCTCTGTGGCGACTGCGGAACGAATTGGGACTTCAGCCGGTCTGCTCCCACTACATCGCCGCATGACGACGACGATGATGGTGGTGTTGATGAAACGGAATGGAGTCGAGCAGGGAGGATTAATTCTGCACCATGAATGACAGGTACCACAAGGCGGCCCGGGATGGCTACCTGGACCTGCTGAAGGAGGCGACTCGGAAGGATCTCAACGCGCAGGATGAGGATGGCATGACACCGACGCTGTGGGCTGCTTATCACGGCAACCTGGAGACTCTGCGGCTGATCGCAGCGAGGGGGTGGGTAGAAAGTATTGGTATCTGTGTGACTTAGTGCATGCGTGTGCGTACCACGGTGTCCATCTTCAGTAATTCGAAATAGGTATTGAACATTTTAGAGCACGTATTTTATCATTTTTCTTGCTTATTACAAACAATTTGCGCTGTCAGATTGGGTAGAAATAGGTAAACAATAACCCCAAATGAAAGTCATGTTTCGCAGTATACAAATTTAGCAACTAAAGTAACAATACACCAGTAACTATAGGTCACCTTTTTTACAGGGTCCAGCAATGTTTTTGAGTTTAACATACCCAGAGGAGAGGAGGAGGGGCTCTGACAAATATCAACAATATAACCTCAGGCTTAGCTCCTGGCTAAGAAGAGCCCTTTTACCTGTTTGGCAACTATTCAGTTGTATTTCGGCATGTCTGAAAAATACCCATGTTAGGCTAGAGGGGTATTTCAAGATGAAACAGGCCTATGCACCATTTCAGAGACGGGGCTTTATTTGCATCATACATTTTACACTGATATTAAACATTGTCAACTACATTTAGCTTTCACCAGATATTTTCTTAACATTGTAACTTTATGATCATCTGAAAGATCATTACCAATATGTCATAGCAGGAGATTTGTCATTTTGCAAAGCCACATAGAACTATGGGCTGTGTAATATTTAGCACCTCCATTGCATTTAACATGACACTGTTCATTAAAAAAAGCACCAATACATGGAACGAATCGTTGAGATATTAATGACGAGTACAAAACGTTATTCTAGTGCTACATTCAGTGACATTTTTTACTGTATAACAGCTAAAACATCTATGTTGTCCCATAAAGAGACTTATAATTACTCATTCCTGAATCATTAACGTTAATGGAAAAAGGAAACATTTCATTTCATCAATTTTAACTACCAATTTGATATCATCACAGGCGGAAGAAAACGATTCATCAAATTAACAGCAGATCATTTTAGGAGGCTGCGTCATGGTATAAATGCTGGCCTTACTCCAGCAAAGTGTGCAAATGTTTTTGGTAGTCATGAACATCCCATTCCTCATCTATTCTGGCTGACCTGGTTTGCTGTCAGCCAGAAAAATGGGGCCCATTATGAATCTGCTTAATTGAGTAAAGTTTGTGAGACAACATCATTCATCAGCATTTGGTTTATTGAATGCAAAATATGTGATTTGAGGACATTTATTTTATTTAAAGTTTTCTTAAAACACACAGGCAACAAAGGAAGGCTTATGTGATAATACTAAATTCCCTATTTGCCACGGTGTAATAAGTGTAAACAAGGCTTTGGCGTCATTCTGCTGCCAAGAACATATATATTCCTCTATTGATGGCAGATAAAGTCCTGATTGACATGAGGTATTACAATTAAACATAACTGTCATAATGTTTCACTAAGGCACCAAACTTGTGAGACCCTGGGATATAATGAAGATAAGTTTAATGCTGCTTGACGATTTCATGGGAAAGATGCCATGCAGTGCTCTATTTGACAAGTATATTGCACCGAGCAGTCTGCTGTAACATCAAGCTGTCATAGGAAGTGAAGAGGCAAACAGCCCATAATGTGATGAAGGTCAGGGAATGGTTAAGTGGGCAGAACTATCACCACTGCGGTCTTTAGTAGGACAGACATAAATTATGACATGTAAAGCTGTCATCTTAGATGGTCTCTACCACAAGCATATTGCATAATCTGAGGGTGATAAATATTTATTTTCAAAATAAAATTTGAACATAGCTAATGGCTGTTTATCTTTCTTAAATAGCATTTGATGTTCCTTCATGTATCTCAGCGCAGGAATAACATTGCAATTCCTTTGTTTGATTATTGCTTTATTGTCGTGTTCTGGGCTGTCCATCATGCACACTGATGACAACCATTTCCATACATTTGAACTCAAGCACCTCCTGATCCTAAAGCTGCTTTGCTTTCTGAGCATTTTGAAGCCAATCCTGTGCAGACAAAAATGAGCAAGGGGGCTGAAATCAGAGTGAGACTTCACTTCGCTAATCGCTGCCCAGGTTGGGTCCTGCAGACACGCATTCCCTGCAAAAACCTTACAACACAATCCATCAATAATACATTTGCACTTCGACAGTAGCTTCACAATCCATCGTATCAAATATTCAGCAGACTGTACGAGGCTACATTGGAAGACAGGGACAAGACAGATCAGTAAACATGTCATTTCAGGTGGTGTGAGACCATACAGATGACTCTAAACTGAAAATATAAATGGAAAAAAGTTAAAGTTTAATGTATTGTTGCAATATTTAGTTGTGATGGACACAGACAAGCTGTATACCATTAATAAATCCTGTTTTGTTTTTTTAAACGATACTATCAGTTAGACGCTTAATGGAATACTATTTGAAAGTGTGAATAATGAGCAAACGTATGCGCTCGCACACTGTAGATTTGCGTAGCAGGCTCATGATGCGAAAGGAAAATAAGAAAGCTCCATACACCTCTGCCCTCCACGTCATCCATACAGCTGTGATACTGTTATGTTTTGACTTGAGGAACTCAGCGTGACATCACGCACGGTTGTCCTTTTTGAGTCAGGCGCAACCTATTAGGCCTCCCCTGAAACTGGATACAGGTAGTGTAGCAGTGGTGCTGGCAAGCATGTGGTCATGTTACAGAAAAGGCAGCAACAGTGCAGCACACAAAGAGGTAACCCTAAGGTCGTGGACTGCCAGCCAAGAGTAAACGTTGCTTATAGTTGTAGTTATGGCCCCTGCATAACAGTACATTCCCTTTTGACAGATTGTTTTAATCAAACCTTCTATTTGCCAAATGGTCAAAAGAAAGAAAATGTCGATAAGATCTATTGTATGGTTGGTTTTACAAAAGGGCAATGTGGTGTTTGGACTATAAATTATTAAATAAGGCCCCATTAACAACCCACGGATGACAGGTCAGTGCTGAAAAAATAATCAAAAGATCAAATGCTTACTCATGAGTGAGTCATCTAAACAGAGGGCCAAGGAGGGAACCGGTATCCATAACCTTACTAACAGTCTGAACAAGAACTGGAGACATTTATTTGGTAAATCTGAAATCCCCTGAGTCAAAATATAATATCTAACATCTTTCTGTTGGCCCACAGAGGAAACCCTGACAAGTGTGACATATGGGGGAACACACCGCTCCACCTGGCAGCTGCCAATGGTCACCTCAACTGCCTTTTCTTCCTGGTGTCTTTCGGTGCCAACATTTGGTGCCTGGACAACGACTACCACACGCCATTGGACATGGCCGCCACAAAGAATCACATGGATTGCGTCCGCTACCTGGATACCATCGCCACCAAGCAGACGGGCCTCAACACGAAGCTGGTCAGCAAGATGAAGGACCGGGCGGTTCGCGATGCTGAGCGGCGGATCAAGGAGTGTGTGAAGATGCAGAAGAAACACCACAAACTCATGGAGCGGAGATTTCATAAAGAGACTTCTGAGGCTTCTGTGTCAGACGTCATGAGCTTTTCCAGTTACACCAGCAGCTCTGTTAGCCACAAGCTGCACAACTTAAATGTAGCCACAGTCAGTGTGCCATATTCTCAGGTCAGCAGGTTTTTTTCTACCTATTCTTTAAGGACAGAGTCTCTTTGTTTTACACGTTCGCATTGTTTAGTTTTTCAATTTTTTCTTTTATTTTCATTTTTTTGCATAGTTTTACTGTAAAATGTTTTACAATTCCTACTCCTAACTACAAGACAAGACTAAGCTAAATGCTAACATGTTCACAGTGACATTGCTAACAATTAAGCACTCCATGTGGAGATCAAAAGAGGCGGAATGCATTGGCTGAAATCCAATCTGGGAATCCGGCTACCGCCTGATGAGGGTTTAGCTTTATATTGGTTTAAAATTAGCTTGTAAACTGGCTACTTGTGAAACAATCCGGTTGTCTCTCTACTCCAACTCCAGTCTCGCATCACAGGTTTTGAAAGTATTTGGTCATTAACCAAAATATCAGACAAGTGGGAATTTTGGCCTGACAATTGTGTTAGAGGAAAAGTACAGAGTTTACCAAAGTTGTTACAATTTATCACCTGGGCACCATGAATGTCTGTTCAAAATGTCAATGCAATCCATCCAATAGTTGTCAAGATATGTCATTAAAAACCGAGAATGTCAACTTCGTGGTGGCTCTAGACGGAACTAGATGGATCACCGATGGCAGAGGTATACATCCTCTGGGGACCATGAATGTCCCCAATCCATCCATAGTTGTTGAGATATTTCAGTGGTGGACCTACTGCAATAGCCCACTAGCATGGCCAGCATTTTGACATGAATTGAACCCGGACATTTGGTTACTAGTTATGTCTGGAAAATCTAATCCTCTCATGTGATATTGTGCCTAATTACTATATTTATTCATGTCCTGTTAGGCTACTCTTCATGCCACAAACCGAGGGAAGACAAAGATTCAGAGGAAGCTGGAGAAGAGGAAGCAAGGAGATGGGACATTTAAAATCTACGAGGATGGGAGGAAGAGTGTGCGCTCCCTCTCCGGACTTCAGCTGGGCAGCGATGTCATGTTTGTCAAACAGGGGACTTACGTCAGCCCAAAGGACCGTGGCCGTCGCAATATCCGTGACATGTTCCCCAGAGAAAATTACGATGCCATTTCACGTGCCATTAGTGAGCCGGACCTCCACGGGCCTGATGTAGACTACTCTGAGATCAGCACTGACTCGGGACATGATTCCCTGTTCAATAGGCCCGGTCTGGGCGCCATGGTCTTTAGGAGAAACTATGTGAGTGGGGGGATGTTTGACATCGGTGGCCGGGATGAGGACAGTGCAGACCGGTCAGGCAATAATGTGCGTTTACGCAGTCGGCTGCACCAATACCCGAATGCAGATGAAGACAGCATCGGCAGTGCACGCAGCCTTCAAGAGAGGAATGTGGAGGAGCTGCCCTGGGAAGAAGTGGAATTAGGGCTGGACGATGATGATGAGGCTCACACAAGCGCTCTGGAGGTCTTCCTCGCCACACAGAACATGATTGACTTCTTCTCCATTTTCAAGAGGGAGAAGATTGACCTTGAAGCACTGTTGCTATGCTCTGATCACGACCTTAAGAGTATCCACATCCCCTTAGGACCAAGGAAAAAGATCTTGGATGCCTGCAAGCGACGGCTGGAGACCATAGAGGACCCAGACTGCATTGAGGACACAGAACTGTGAGTGACAGGATTTTCAGTTGTACAGTGTTGTGAGGAAATATTTGGGCATATAGTTTGTTATGCTGTGTTTGCAAATCATCTTCGGATACAAACCGTTTCTCCTCTTGTCTTCATTCTGTCTTGCAGATAATAAAAGTTGCTGTAGATGGCCCCTCCTGCCATGTGCTCATCCAGGCTTAAAGGTCAGTGGAGCATTGTGGATTGAATGTCACGTATGGACAGGGGGGGGGGGGGGGGCCCAATGATTTACCTCTCCTGGTACCTCAGCGGTAACAAAGCAGAAAGGACACTGTCAAGAGGAATATGTCAAGCAAGAAGAGACGAGTGTGAGACTAATTCCTTACAGGATCCTTTTACAGCATCTTGTTAGCCTCAGGAGGATCACTGTAAATATCTCTGTATGTGGGTTGGTTGAAGTCCCCTGCACTGCAAGTTTAAAAAAAACTGAAAGGCAATCATCAGAGTGCAGTGTCCACTGTATGCCATTTGGTATAGTTAACAGAGAACTGATTGTGGGGGTCCATATCCCCTGAATGTGTTGGCCCCTGTGGGGTAAATCCTACCACCTCATGTGCCTGCATTGCTAGTGCCTGTGCCTTTGCTTAAAAGTGTCTTTTGTCTTAAATACTTTTTGACATTAACTTTATTGTAACTTTATTATGAACAGTTTCAATTGCAATAGTCTGAGCAACATTTTCACCCAGAGCCACTCGACTGTTTCCTTATTCCACCTCTGTAAATGTTTACATACAGCAAGCCATGTCAGTCCATGTGTGGCTCGCTGTCAAATGCAGGCCAATTGTTCATTGAGATTACGGTTCTGATTTACTGTAGAAGGTGAAAGCACAATATCTTATAATACACAATATAGCATGTTGCAGTTCTATATTTTGCATGTTCAGTCCATACGGATTTATTAACCTTTGTATATCACTCGTGTTAGTCTTGACAATATGACAGTCTTCCAACTCTTTGTATCTTAAGTATTTTTTTAAATAACATCTGCACAGGAGCATATGTTGGTGTTTATAATCTACATTTTTTTAACATTTAGGTGGATTTAAAATAATAAATACTAATGTTTTAATGCTGTGAATTACTTAACTGATATAGATCCATATGTTTTGCTCTCGTCACTGCACTCTACTTACTATATTTCACCTGCAGAGTAGCTCAAATTGGAGACACAGAGTAAACTGTAAGATGTGCCTTTATAAAGCAGGGCCATGGTTACCACTAAGGTCATGTCTTCATTCACATTTTGGGGGATACTGGGAATAGTATTTCTAAATCCCTACTATAAGGTATAGTATACTCACTCAGTAGTGAACCAAACATGTAAATGAATTGAGTTCCTATTAATGTAGAGTGTAACTAATATTCACTGTTTGTATGTAGTCATAGTTTTTACAGGTCAGTGTTAATCCTGTCTCAGTTGCTACCTGTTTACAAAGACATCATTTTACACCTCTGCCAAGACTTTGGTATGTGGGATTTAGGTGCGAGAGAGAGAGAGACAGACCCAGAGACCGGAATATACTTGTTTTGGCATCTTCAGTCATTGTGACAATCCTCTCATGCTGCATGCACACCAAAGCCAAGCATCATTGTTGTCTCTGTACACAAAGTCAGGAAGTTCTACTGTAGATAAGTGTCATTGTCTGGAAACGCCATGCCTCTTACATGACATTGTTATCAGAAGGAAACAGTGTGACACTCCCACATGGGTCCTGTAGCATCCCTAACCATACGCTACTTTACAAAGACTTTACTTGTGTTTTTATTAAACTATTTATCTTATTGGTGACAGAAGCCAGACACAACTGTTTTTCTTCACACCGTTATTGGTGAAATGAACCTTTTAAAACCAACTTTGCCAGAGAATGTAAAATCAGTAAACAAGTCATTAACTCTGACAGAATGAAAGAGAGGATGTCCCTTTCCTGGTTTGGTCATAATACACTTGTCATTTCCTCCCCTAATCTGAGTAATCTTCTGTGTTTTAAGCTTTGTGTGGTTGGATACAGAGAGAAGAGAAGAGTTAAACAGGGGAGGGGTGAAAAATGAGAATGCTTCAGCTGGCTCAGTACGAAATACCTTAGGCGTGGTTTTAAATGATTTCCTTATGCTCTCTGAGGGTCTTTAGATCTCAGAAAAGGCAGGAAAAGGCAGCCGTAGTAACTTGGGACCGTCGAAAGCTCAACCAAATCCAGTTTAAGGTGACTAGGGGAACGTTCTCAAACATGGCTACTCTCAGCAGAAATAATGAGGAGAACTTGAAGGAGAGTCGGCACAACATAATAAATGAGGAGCCGAGGGATCCTGCCACCGAGACGTCCGACACACTGCTCCCACCAGATGTGTTGTGTGACTCGTGCATGGACAGCTCCAGCGAGGCCCTAAAATCCTGTCTGACCTGTCGGGTTTCTTACTGCGAGGCTCATCTCAGACCCCATCTGGAGAACGTCAAATTTCAAAACCATCGTCTGGTGGATCCCCTCCACGACGTCGACTGTCAGACGTGTGAGCTTCATCAGCGTCCTCTCGAACGCTTCTGTCTGATGGACGGCTGCTGTGTGTGTCTGGACTGTGAGAACCAGGAGCACGAAGGGCACACGACTGCGTCTGTCGGGGAGGCACGGACACAGATTGAGGTCCTAACAACACAACACATCATCATTTTTTTAAATTTGCTTGAAAGTGTAAAACTATTTCCTTTTATTGTCTCAAAAGGGCAACATCTTAATTTAAGATTTGTCATTAATGGCCTTGCTTTTTTGCAGCATCTGTTGCAGTTATGTTTGTGATGATTGTTTGTGCTGTAGACTGAGCTGCAGAAGAAACAAGAAGAGATCAGTCAAAGTGCCTCAGCAGCTGAGATAGCGATTGGAAAGCTACAGAGTAACAATGACCTAATTAAGGTATGTTACATGCATTTTGCATTCATTTAATGCACCATGGTCTGGTTTGAATTTTTTCTTTCCCTTTCCCCTCTGGCAGTCGTCTGTGCAAGAGGTTTGTGTTATTGTTGAACAGCAGTTTGCCAGGCTGCAGACAACCATGGAGGAGGCCAGAAAAGGGGTGGTGGATGTGCTGGAGGGGGAGCAGAGAACGGCCCTCAGACAGGCAGAGGGCATCCAGGCACATCTGGAGCAGAGGAAAAGCGAGCTCATGAAAACTGTGGCCCAAATGAACAAACTGTCCAGGAGCAAGTCTGATGTAGACTTCTTGCGGGTACAAAATATCTGAAACATTTAAGATAGTAACGAGTGTCGTGTCTCATATGATCTTGGATTAGCGCATGCTGTAGTCCGAGACTAAGTTTATTTTATTTTGGATGCCGGTGTGACAGTGTACACAGAGCAGGAATTTCATCTCTGCAGTTATTTGACAGAGAAAAAGTAGTTGCATTTTCTTTAGTAGCTTCATTTTGCATTGTGAATACTTTTGTTTTGCTTGTTCCAGGAGTATTCAGAGTGGAAGAAAGGCGTGGCAGACGTATGCCGGCCTAGTCCGCACATCAACCGCATGGACCATTTAACCTCTTACGTCCAGGTAGTGACTGATTCTACCCAGGAGCTGTGTGGCCTGATCCTCTCCTCCTACAACGAAAAACTGAAATGTATTTGTAAAAGTGGTGAGTGTGTATCACGTCCTATACCTTACATCGTATGGCTCCTCATAGAGAAAATAGCTTCAGACATGCTTTCTTCAGTGTATCTTGTTAGTTGCTTGTTTTAGCCAAGCCATGGCTGTACTTTAAGTCCTGTATATCAATCTTTCTTTGCTCCTAACCCTAACCCTTTATATTTATCAGCACATTTAGCAGTTGAAAAAAATCCTCATCTCTTATCAAAATACCAAGTCATCTCTCTGCAAGCAGGTACTAAGTCCCAGATGCCAGAATCTGAACCCTCACCCCTCACTGATCCTGAGACGCGAGAGGACTTTTTGAAATGTAAATACACCTTTCAGAATATTATGTTCTGTGTTTTCTGTTAGTCTAATCATACGTGTTCATTTGTCTTCACAAATTCTTTTTCCCCCATGTACTGTAGACACAAGGAGTTTGACCTTTGACACAGACACCACCCATCAATTCCTCCGCGTAACGGAGGACAACAGAAAGCTGACCAACACCAGCCCCTGGCAGCACAGCTACCCAGACCACCCGCGTCGCTTCGAACATTGGCGTCAGGCAATAACTTCAGACAGCCTTTACCTTGGGAGGCACTATATTGAAGCAGACCTGATTGGGGAGGGTGCACATATAGGAGTCACGTACAGGAGCATCGATCGTAAAGGAGAGCAAAGCACCGGCTGCATCACTGGAAACGACTTTTCCTGGTGCGTGGGAAGGAACAGCCGAGGTTGCTTTGCCTGGCATGCTGGTGCGGAGACGCCCTTGGATGTCACCGATATTACGAGACTTGGCTTGTATGTCGACTTTCATCGAGGCTCTGTGTCTTTTTATGATGCCACCGGTCCTATGAGGCAGCTCCACAAGTACACGGCTGATTTCATAGAGCCCTTATATGTTACAGCCTGGCTGTCAAAAAAAGACAACGTGGCTTCTCTCGTTAATGAGAAATTATGTAAGAAATGATCACCTGCCTTCACTGCAAGTTTGTGTTATAAATCTTTATTGAGGTTACATAACAAGGTATATAAAGTTATGGTACATTTGGAGGATTTTTTCACATACATGTCATTGAAGGTTAAATTTACTACCTTCTCGTGTTAGGAATTTACTGCAGTTTTATTGCAACTATATTGCTCTTGAATGTGACATGATTGAGGAAAAAAAGTACGTAATCTGACAACAATTCTTTTATTTGTTGTACAAGTGCATTTGCTGAATTATCATAAAGCTATAATAGGATTTATTGTTTATGAAGGGTCTGTAAAATCATCAAGTTAATGCAAAAGTACTTTGGAAAGCATTAACCTCCTTAAAGTCCACTGCAGTAAAATTCAGGCATTGAAATCTGTTTCATTCTCATCATAAAGTGGATTTATAAAGTGCACACCTGTCTGAGTCATGGAGATAGAATGCTTTGTTTCAGCCGTATACACGCCAGGAATATCAGGCAGCATGTTGGGCCTGTCAAAAATGGGATTGTCAAAGCCGTGGTCAATAGGCCCGCCAACGTCTCCAACATCGGCGCTCTTCTTCAAGCTGCTCAGAGACGGCAGTGACGGCAGTGACAATGGCATTTGAACAACCCCTTTACGAACCAGCACCACCACGATGATGATTGTAATCATAATCAAAACTCCAAACACAACTCCAACCACCATCCCAGCACTTCCTCCAGTCTGATCACTGCTGCTCCCAGAGGAGGCTTGAAATTCAGCCTCAGTGATTCCCAGGTTTGAGCCATGAGAATGGGCATCTTTCAGTATGTCCCGGGCCAGACCCTCGGACTGCGATCCCTTCTCTCCATCCACAACAACCACCTGGATCTCTGGCGAAGCACCAAAAGGGATGACCCCCATCAACCGCTGTGACTTTAAGACTTTAGACATACCCAGCTGAATGGATTTGTATTTTGGCAAGATAAGAAATAGGTGGTGGATTCGATCCCTGTAAGTTTGCAGGTTGAAACCAGCGGCATAGTGAATGGTGACGATGGCGCCACAAACATTACAGCAGTGTCCTACAGGGAGGAGAGGCTTCTTACAGCTCAGAGTGCCACATGTTACAGTGTTACATATCCGCTGATGGTTAACAGAATTCCCACAGTCGCAGCCAGAAGGATCCCCACACTCTTGGTTTCCAACAGTGACGCCAGTGGATCCTTGAAACTGCAGCTGGCCTGAACGTGAGCCGAGATACTGGGAGAACTCAGATCTGCTGTCAAACTTCTTCCCCAGCACAGACACCGATTTGACAGGAATGCTAGACTGACTGGAGCTGGTGTCCACCCTGAAAGAGGAGCGGGCTTTAAAAACCACATCATCATACTGGCAAGGGACACTCTCCTCGTGGACTGAGAACAAGAAGTTTCCACGCTGCAGGTCTTCCAGAGTTGCAGCTGCCTGCCACAGAGCTGGGTTGAACCACTGAAGAGACTCTGAATCCCTGAACTGGGTCGTGACACCAGCTCCGCAGCCTGGATCTTTTCCGCTCACAACATAAAATCCAGCTCCTGAATTTAGGATGAGCTCTCCATCGTCTGGCAGCCTCATCTCCTGCACAGCATGCGTGGTCTCCACGAACACAGACACTTTTCTCTGGGCTGGAAACTGAACTATGTCGTTGCCACATGGAACAGCCCCTTTGTCCCAGTTGGTCTTATTCTCATAGTTGGTGTCAGGAATCCACTGTTTTTGCAGGGCATCCACTGCCCCGACAAGACAGAAGAAGAGAAGGAGCATGTCCGGTGTTTTCAGCATCCTGAACATTTGTGATGGACTGAGAGAACATAAGGTGACCTTTGTTTCCAACCTTGTGACTAACACATGAGTGCACACAGCTTTCCAGTAAAGTTGATGAGCTCCGAACCACATCGACCTGGACAAGCAGGTGACCTGTAAACGATTTACAAATCTGCAACAACAGATTTTTTTTTTTTTTAGTTTGTCTATTATCAGAATATCCTGAACACTTATGAATACATTTCTATGCATTTTCTAGAGTCCAGTGGTCCTCATCAGGCATCGACACCAATTCTTCTTTTGCAGGGACAAGATTTGCTGAAGGGATAACTTCTGGACAGTCCTCGTAGCTCCTTTTGCCCCTCAGTTACTGGAGTCCGCCTGGAAACTTTGCTGATAAACTAATGACAAAAATAAAAAAAAAAGTATTATGTAAGTTTTGTACATGACACGCAGAGACCTTTAAGGGAAGCAAATGAAATTATATACCTCTTGATTAATATGAAATCAAATCCAGTTATAGATATAAAACTCCTAATCCAATATGTTCTGTCTCTAGTCATTGAGGGCCTTTATGTTAGTGAAAGCCACTTCGTCGTTAAAGTTTCCAAAATTGTGTTATGTTTATTTACATTTCATGAATGCATTGTTTTTACTGCTGCTTCCCTAACAGCTTCATGTAACTGCTTTTTTTTTTTTGTAATTGCAAGCTATATATTGGATTTCCGAATGTGTTGAGTCAACAGGCTTTCACTCATCAAACAACATCGTAATCCTGCTTTGTGGTACAGGTACCAGGATTATGCACGGGGGAAAAAAACAAACAAACACACAAACTCATTGAACCTGAATGTCCCCTGAGGCAGTGTCCAATCACGGGCCACAGTCGCCTGCTGTGGAGAAAAGTAAAGGCACGTTTACATGGACTATCAATAAAACGCGCAGACAAATTGACTTGGAGGTTACGATCGGAGCTGCTTTAAATAATTGTTAGGGGAGCGACACGATTAATCAGCCGAAAGTAATTACACCTGTTTAACTTCCCTTTTGCGGCGCTCCAGCAACCTCGCCTACAGAGAGAGGAACGCTACACTTTCGGTGTATTTCCTTTAATGTCCCTATGCATTTCATCTTTGCCATGATATAGACATGTCCAAGTGTCCTGACACCCGCTTATGATTTCTTTTTTTTTGTGGCGTACAGTCTCCAATTGGTCGGAAAACCCATCATGAAAACTGTAGCTCAAGAGATGTTACCGACCTGCAACCAACTTTTTTCTGGGTAAACGTGTGATGATGTGTTTTTACTCGGCAGCTTTAGAGAAATCACGTCTTAAACCAACTTTATGTATCGAGTATAGAGTTATGTTCGCTATACTTCAAGATGCAGCCATAGCCACTTGTTTGGTACGCCTACTTTAATATATCCGCCACAAATTCCTCATTTGACAGTCAGAGTTTTAAATTCAAACATTGAGGTTGTAGTTGTGTTGTAGCTTACTGGACTGCATTGTATTGAAATGTTTTTCAAATTGTCTTCTGCTTGAAAAAGAGAAACTTGCAGAACATGAACATCTTGTGTCTGTGGGTTAAACTTTTGAAATGGACAAAATATTTGCATATTCATAGATTATACATTTTTCATTTCGGGAGAAGGAGTGTGTGAAATTTTAAGACCGAGACACTTTTTTTAATTAATTTTTTGGTGGAAAAAAAAAAAAAAAGCTGCTGACTTAAACAGTATGTGATTATTACTGTCTTTCGGAGACACTTCATGTATTTTTTTTTTGTAGAAAAACGTCAGAGGATGCTGTGGAGGCACGGCCATCCAACATCGAGATGGCAGCACAGATGGACAACATCCAACATCTGCCCAGTCCCTCACAGACTTTCAATGTGGAGGCTGGAGAGAGCATTCGCCACGTGGAGGCAGTGGTGGAGAGGGCCCACCATGGTGGTGGATGGCTCCTGTCTGGCATCGTCTGCGTCAACATCCTGATCCTGGGCTGCGCTCTGGTCAGCGGCAGTGCCTTCAACAGCGTGGCCATCACTGCTGTGCACAGGCAAATCTTCCTCATCATTCTCCTCTTCCTCACGATGTTGTGGATGCTGTCTTACACAGCCGTCACCTCTCGGAAGGATCAAGCTGTATTGTTCAAAGATAGCCACGCGGGGCCTGTGTGGCTCCGAGGTCAGCACCTGCTGGTTGTCTGTTTTTAGATGAGTATCGTTTCAAGGCTTAAACCCTTTTTAATGTTTATATTTCAGGTGGGCTTCTGCTGTTTGGGCTTCTCAGTCTCATCATGGACATCTTCAAGATCGCCACCTATGTGGGCTACCTTCACTGTGACTCTGCTGTTAAGGTTGCCTTCCCTGTTGTGCAAGCTGTATTTCTGTTTGTCCAGGTTGTTGCATTTTAAAAACATTACTCATGCATTGCAAGAATATGCAGTCTTACTTGCACTGTGGATTGGTGGGTGGAAACTTAACAAAACCTGTCTGTTTGTAGACCTACTTCCTTTGGTTTCATGCAAAGGATTGTGTGCAACTACACCCAAATTTCACACGGTAAATTATTTATTTTACTCACTAGAAAATGTACCTTTTCTAATTTGCAGGACACTCATGTTTTCACTCTTCCAGGTGTGGGCTTGCTCTTACGCTTTCAACTAACCTGGTGGTGTGGATGGCAGCTGTGACTGAGGAATCGGTTCACCAAACTGAGATTCCAGACCTAAATGTCAGTGTCTCACACAAGATGTACAGAGGTATTTAGGCACGGTGTGTTTTCAATTCATTCATGTATTCATTATGAGGGAAAAGTAACTCCAAAAACTTTCCGTTTCAGCCAGCTATGGTGACAGAAAGTGTGAATGCAGTCACTTGGCGTGCGACACCTTCAAAGACGCCTTCTACTACCTGTACCCCTTCAACATAGAATACAGCCTCTTTGCTTCGGCCGTGGCCTACGTCATGTGGAAAAATGTTGGTCGCCTTGTGGAGGATCGCAGCCACCACAGCATAAAGTTCCGTCCAAAAGATGTGTGTTCGGGACCTGTTATGGGAATACTGCTGGTGGTGGCAGGACTTGTCACATTCATAGTGTACAAGGTGGACCTACTGACAGAGGACGAGAAGAACAGAAACAAGGCCTTGCTGATTCATTTCATCATGAATATAGTGATAGTGAGCCTGATGTCCGTCTCCACTGTGATCGGCTGCGTCGTCTACAGGCTGGACCACAGGGAGCACGTATCGGAGAAAAACCCCACTCGCAGCCTGGATGTGAGGCTTCTGTTGGGAGCCTCGATGGGGCAGTTCATCATCAGCTACTTCGCCATCGTGGCTGCGGTGGCGACAGGAGCCGGAGGGTACCTGAACGCCCTCAACCTGTCCTGGGCGGTGCTGACGGTGCTCCAGCTCGGTCTGCAGAACTACTTCATCATCGAAGGCCTCCATAGGGAGCCTTTCCACGTGATGCAGGAAGCCGCTCTGCACACAAATGCTCACGCCTTCCAGGAACATCCAGAGACAAATGTTGTTCTGGGGAGTCGTCAGTCCAAATACTTTGTGACCTCAAGTCCTGATAAGCCAAGTTGGAAGAGAAGAGTATTGAAGGAAGTCTGTGCCTTTCTGCTGCTTGCGAACATCATTGTAAGTTGTATTTACGCTTCATTTCTTTAATCACTATAATTGCAACAAACTCTTAAGACTAACTAAGAGCTATTTGTTTTCCTCTTGAAATGTGTCCTGCTTATTCACTCACTCTGTATTGACAGCTGTGGATCATGCCCGCCTTCGGCGCTCGTCCCCAGTTTGATCATCCCATTGAGATAAAATTCTACAAATTCACAATGTGGGCGGCCATCGTGAATATTGGACTTCCTTTTGGAATCTTCTACCGCATGCACTCTGTCGCCAGTCTCTTTGAGGTGTACTTGATCTCTTAGATGAACCTATTTTTAATTTAGAGTAATTTTATGATATATCTTATTTATTAAATGTTTAAATTGAACTTGTATTAATAAATGTTAACTTAAAAGAATGTGTTACTTGTCATTAGTTGGCTAACATTTAAATTCCCATATTTTTGAATCAAATTTACTAAGGCCATGTTTTGTTGTGCTCTGCACGTAACAAGCTATTACATTTACATGTGTGGTTATTTATAACCATGACATTTAATTTGTTATCAAACTACTTGATCAGTTCAGTAACTATTAACCAATATGTAAAAAATAGTACTTGTTTAATAAAAAAAAAAACCGGGACATAAGCAAAGGTGGAATTGGATGCTATAAAAACATCCAAAGCAGTATCTCTAAAATGTAACTTACTGCTCGCTGGAGAGGGACATGGTGACATCTAGTGTTCATGGTGTAAAGGGGCAGCTTTGACTTCATGCGGCATGTTGTGGCCAAACTACATACAACCGATGGACAAGGTAAAATACCCTCTAATAAGCTCTGCACTTGATATGGATAATTAAGTGTTGATTTATCTTTGGCGCACAGAGTAAATGTTGACTCCTTTGTGAATATATACATATAAACCATATGTATTGCTTAAAAAAAGATTCCCCAGTAAAGCATATTGTTCAGTAATGTGACCAACACAGAATTCACAGATGCATATGAATATATATATATATATATATATATTCAGGATCATTTACGTAAAATACACTTTCCAACATCAAGCATTGTAAGCATAGCCAGCCAGGTCCAAACTTAAACCTGGCCATATACATAAAAACATACAATCTGTATAGTTGTCTCCAAAATCCTGTAGAGTTACATTGTCACATAAACCACAACCATATTCACAACTCAAAGAGTGCACTTTAAAGCATGGCAAGTACAACAAATAACGTAAAACACCAATATTGTGCCATCCAGGATATGTTACAAGCCTCTGTGGGGAAAGCACCATATCTTCTATAACCAGTCTGACTGCAAAGTTTAACAATGGTTCCTCTTTCACTTCACTTTCACTCCTCTATTCCGCCAAGAAAAGAGGTCTGGCCTTCAGGAAACGCTCCAGACATTCTATTGTCTTGAGATCTTAAGAAATGTACAAACACCGTTATTTATGGACAATAGTGAAAATTCAATCATCTTAATCTGGACGTGTCTCTACCGGAGTCGTCTGAATGACTCTCCTACCCAGGTTGGTGGTGTACGCACTGATGGTGATGATCATGATGAATAGGGAGGCAAGTTAAACACAGTGAGGTTGACTGGGAAACCAGCAGATACTGAAGGGAGCAGAAACCCTGTTGAATAGTCCCATTTTTAGTCTTCTGTCTACATCCTCTGAATCTCAAAAAGGCGAACATCGGTGTCATACCAGATAGGAGGGTCCACATTGCTAGAACAACAAAATAAGATGTTAGCGCTTAGTCAACGTGGATAGACGAGTATTTGCATAACGCTCTGCTCTTATGGCTGACTCACCGCAAATAGACGACGCCCCACATGTAGGTACGAAACCACATGGCAGTTCCTGCGTTGGCCTGATACTTTCTGATGAGGATGGGGTGAGGAACTGGCAGCAGGCCCACTAATGTGCCATGCTGGAGAAACTTAAGGATCTCTGATTCATCTGTTAGACCCCTACAGTGAAACATTTGAGCACTTTTTTTAAGAAAACGGTGATATTTCAAAAAGGAATACAAGCGTTTAAATAGTTAAGTAACATACTTGTCAATGCAGATCTTTTCCACCTGGGGAACTAGAACTTGTAAAAGTCGCATGATAGTCTGTAGGGGTAGTTTACACTTCCAGGAGAGGACCTAGGACAAAAATAAAAAGGTAAATCCAGATCATTTACGCGTTCTGACAAATATCAGGAATTGGAGAGGGTGAGGGCGAAAGAAGTTACCAACCCATTCTGGTGTGGGAGCCCAAAACGATGTTGAAGATGCTCTTGACAAAGGTCTTCTCTCCATTTCTGCTTCAGTGTAGAAAACATCCTGATAATTTGAAGAAATACAATTACTGGCATGCATGTGCTTTGAAACAAACGCATGCACACAAACGCACACTTACTTCATTGTCTCGGCCTGAGTTTGACTCTGTGTCACTGGTCCCAACGACTGCCTTTTGGTCTGAGTGGGCTTTTTGTGAGGGGTCTGTCTTTGGAACTGACACCATGGTGCCGTCCTCTGACACCTGGGACTTCTCAGTCAGTTTATCAATGCCTGCAGGAAACCACGAATGACAGAAAACCTATAACTACTTGAAGGATAAGTCTGGTGATTGTCTATACTTTTCTTATTCTAACAAATCCTATGAAAAGCCCAAAACAAAGAATGAAATGTAGCATTGTGTCCAAAACCTGATATACTGTAACTTATTTCTCCGTGCCACATCGCTGCACTGGGTTTAATGTCTCTTCTTTACCATGAACATGGGAAATGTAATTTATTTTAAGTCAATTCTAAACTTTATTGCTGCAGTAAATAGCTGCTAGTGCAACCAATCTGCAGCTGAAAATAGTCCCAAACAACTACTCAGTTTATTTCTGTTTGAGTAACGTTTTGTTTTTCTTACAAATGTACCTATATTTGACAGTCCTCTTAGTTTTCAGATGCTTAATGTACTAAGCTGTACAGGACAGAAATCCACCCCACATTCAAGGGATGGTTGTCAATTTCATAAAATATGAAAAGTGTAGTAAGTTGACCAATGAGCCGGTTTTAACATCCAATCACAAACATCCAAATAGCATACAGAGTCAGCACCTGGTATAGCGACCAGGCTGGTCTTCAGTGTACCAGGCTCTGCCGGTACAGCAGGGCGAGAGCCCTCCATGGATACAGTCTCCTGCGAGCTAGTGCGGGAAATGACATCCGGAGACTTCCTCTTCCTCTGCAAAGCCTTCTGGATGGAAGCAGGATCAGAGGGCAGGTTGGCCAACTGGTGGAACACGTTACGTTTGCGTATGATTGCGTACACCAGGTTGCAGTTTCCTGGAGGTGAGAGAGACAGAGGGACAGATTCACTAAATGAGCAAATGTGTAACAAAGTCCCTTCTATTATCTTGATCCTGACAGCAACTCTAAAAGAAAGCTTTTCAAAGCCATGCGAGCCCAGAATGCTGTTTTGTTTCAGCTTACTCTTACCGTCAAATTGATATTGGATGATATTGTTGAAAGCCTCGAGAAGGAAGAACACAAGGTGGTGGTTCTGGGCTACAGAGAACAGGAACCAGCCAGTGGAGAAGGCCTCCAGCAGGTGGAGCAGTTTATTGGCTGCCACCATGGACAGGCTCTTCAAATAGGGAGACACTGCAGAAGGAGAGATGTTAAGGAGACTGTGTCACTAAATAAATAAATAAAAACATAACAGACATTATAATTTGATGAAGTGGTATCTGTTTTGTTATAAGATGTTAAAACGGTTAAATAGTTTCTGTTGCTGTTATCTGTGCATTGCCAGACAGATGGCGCCAAAGCAATTTTACCATTTACAATGATTGTGAGTAGGCAGTCAAACAGAGGCTGGAGACGCTGGTGGCCTGTGGTGACGATCTTGTGAAACACCTACAAAACAAACACAGTGACAGCTGTGAGTATCTTAATTTGGCAGCAAGAAAGAACATTTCAGATGATGCAATGCAGTAGACACTCGCCACTATAAGCAGGTCAGCATGAGTCCCCGTGAACACTGGGATGTCCATAGGCACATGGACAGAGTAGGGCTTATTCAAGCGCACGCCAAAGTTTCTCTCTCCGCTCAGCAGCAGCAAAATGAACACACCGATGTGCATGAGTCCAACACGGGCTGCAGCCATAAAACACATCAGAAGTTAATAAACGTATGCCTAGTAAAGGCTTGTTGGGTGCAAGGAAGCAGTGGGATGAGACTCACACTGGTCAGCCCTGGCATCATTCAGATAGAAGAGTATGGGAACCAGAATATCCAGCACATCGCTGCTCTTCAGGACAAAAAACAGGAACTTCTGTCGTGGGGTCACAGAAGGGAGTTTGTTGAGTAAAATCACAGACTTTTAATCAAAGAAACTCTTTATTGTAGTTTTTTGTTCCAACCTTGTTGAAGTCACAAAGCTTCCAGAAAAGCACCAACAGCTCTTGGTGGAACTGGATCTTCTTGGTAGAGTTAGGCAGGTACGTCTGAGTCAAAGGGTTGGTCAGCAGACGAGCTAGGCCCTTCAGCACAAAGTCAAAGTCCTGCAAATGGAGAGACAGAAGGTGTGCTCTGGACATATGTACTGGGGAAATCTTTAAGTATTTCATAAAAAATGATAATGAGCATACCTCCTCTCTGTGGATCCTTGACAAATAATTCACAAACAGGTTTTCAGGGCCTGTAGACTGCACAAAGATAAGGAGATTAATTGGAATGGCATTAAACACATGCCATTCAATCATCGGATGGATTTCTTTGAGGAGGTGCTATACCTCGTGTTCCTCCATGCTGGATGGGGAGGGGGGCCGGTGGGGAACCCCTCCGTCATGCTCCAGCGTCACAATGAGGATCTGTACTGCCTGCTCCACCAGCTGCTCCCGGTAGTCGGAGAACAGAAGGTGGTTGTATGGGATGCCGTAGCCCACTGGATCATAGGCACACACCACATTCAGCAGAGAGGTGAACAAAGGCAGAGCATGTCTAGGGAAAAATATGCGAAGATGAGAATCAGGTGCAAGAACACCCCCACGCAGTTTTTTTGAATGAAAGTATACTGTAACTTGTAATTGAAGTCTCTTACTTTAGTCAATACACATCGAACGAATCATTACATCAGCCCCTTACCTATTTTCTGTGGAGCAGAAGAAAGTCACCCAAGGGTTGAGGACATTGTTGTCCGATGAAGAAGGCAGGTACATGGCCTCAGAGAAGCAGGTTAGTAACAGCCTCAGCAACTCTGTCCTGAAGAGGATCAGTGAAAAAAAAAAAAAAGCAGAGAGGTGGACAGAAGAAAATCACCCACGAGAATAAAGGTTCGTGCTATATGCTGCCAAGCACAGCTGCACACAGCCGGCTGACTCACCTATTTAGATCATGGATGTAGTTCAGAGGGGGGGACTGTGCAAAGCCCACCCCTGCCTCCCAGATGTATTCACAGCTGTCTATAGACTGCA